TCTGGCTTCTTTCCAGACTTTCTCTTTGTATTTGGTTTTATGCAATTTTAATATCATAGACGTAGGTATTGTTTTTGGTATTTATCCTGCTTGGAGTTCTCTGTACTACTTAGATTTGTGATTTTGTGTCTGTCATTACCTTTGGGAAATTCTCAGCTATTATTTCTTGACAGAGTTCCTCTGTTCCTTTCTCTTTCATCTCCTTCTGGTATTCACATTTTATACACGTTAAACCTGTTAAAATTGTCCCACAATTCTCAGATATTCTATTCCATTTTTTCATTCTCTTCTTCTCTTTACATTTATATTTTAGAAGTCTCTATTGACATGTCTTAAAACTATGATTATTTTTTTTCCCTTGGCCATGTCCATTCTACTGATGGGTGCATCAAAGGCATTCTTCATTTTTTTTAAAAAAATTTTACTTATTTATTTGAAAGAATGAGAGAGAACACAAGTGAGGGAGGAGGGGCAGAGGGAGAAAGAGAAGCAGACTCCTTGCTGAGCAGGGAGTCCTGTGTGGGGCTTGATCCCAGGACCCTGAGATCATGACCTGAGCCAAAGACAGATACTTAACCAACTGAGCCACCCAGATACCCGCATTCCTCATTTTTGTTATGTGTTGTTGATTTAGTATTTTCTTTCTTAGAGTTTTCATCTGTCTGCCTACATACTTACTTATTCTTGTATATTGTCAATTTTTCCCAATAAATTCTTAAACGTGTTAATCATAGTTATTTTAAATTCCAAGTCTGATAATTCTGAATTTCTTCCAAACTGAGTCTGTTTCTTTTTCTTTTTTTTTTTTTTTTTTTAAAGATTTTTTATTTATTTATTTGACAGAGAGAGATCACAAGCAGGCAGAGAGGCAGGCAGAGAGAGAGAGGAGGAAGCAGGTTCTCTGCTGAGCAGAGAGCCCGATGCGGGGCTCGATCCCAGGACCCTGAGATCATGACCTGAGCCGAAGGCAGCGGCTTAACCCGCTGAGCCACCCAGGTGCCCCTAAACTGAGTCTGTTTCTGATGCTTGATTTATCTTCTCAGACAATTTTGTTTTGCCTTTTGGTATGGTTGGTAATTTATTGTTCAAAGCTAGACTTAATGTATTGGGGAAAAGGAACTTCAGTAGATGAGTGGTTAGTTTCAGGTCTTATGTTTATCTGGCAAGGAATTAGACTGTGTTTACTATTTGCTATAGCTCTGCCGTCCAAGGCTAAAATCTCGTCTGTTTAGTTTTGTCTCCCTTACTGTCTTTGAGTTTTTCTAGAAACCTTAAATAGCATGTGAGTCCTACAGTTCTTCTGCACTTCCCTGTTATTTTATAGGAACACTAATGATGTGGTGGTAATGTGGGGAGGTGTGGGAGGAAATGTTCTATACTCCTGTCATTAGGTCTTATTCCTTTAGGGAGCCCCAACTGGGCATTTCCCTTTCCTCATGTCAGTTAAGCTCTGGTAAAATAGTTTCTTTTATGGGCAGGCCTTATTAAGTAGAACAGAAGGGTTGAGAATATTTCAAAATGGTTACTTTTCCCCTTCCACTCCTGGAAGCAGGAAAGGATTTTTCTCTTGTTTTCACAGGGAGAACCTAGTGGGATTCATGGAAATAAAATTGGGAAATGTTTGGGAGATCTGTCTTTAAGGCTGCACCTCCTATTAATTTTTATTCTTAAGCTAGTCCATACTGAGCCTGAGCAGTTAATCACTTACGGTTTAAGGTGTTCCTTCCACAGTACTGCCTTCAACCTACTACTTCTGCACCTGGGCTTTTGCTTCTTCTAAGCCCCAAGTCTCTGTATCTGCCTGTTTGTTTTTCCAGTTTTCAGGACAGTAGTTTGCTCTTTGACCTCATTTTTCTGATAGACTAAGAGAATTGTTGATTTTTAGTTCAGTTTTTTTTTCTTTTTGTGAGGACGGTAGTGACTCCAAGTTCTTTATATGTTGGACAAGAAACTAGAAGTTTATGTTATTAGAATGAAGATTTTACTTTAAAACATGCTTTGTGTCTTAAGCCTTGTATGAACTTCCCTAGAAACAATGTTTCTGGTGAATATTTGAACACAGATGACATTTAGACAGATTTTTTTTTTCATCCCCTTTTGAAATTATCGTTGATTTTTTTAAATGCAGAGTATAATCCCATGTAAGCAGGACAGTGAATCCTTGATGCTTTCTTTCTAAAACTTGATTCAGCAATTAGAAAAGATTTTTTAAATCTCTTTTTAAAGATAAAAAAAAAGCAGACAGTTTTCTCCCTCAAAACATGTAGACAGGATGAATAGTGAGGAGAATTTGTGTAGCATGTATAACTCCCTTCAAAGTACCAGATACTCTTCTGTGTGGCTTCAAGGAAGAGTAGAGGTAGGATACCCAAATTATAATGTTCCAAGGCTAGTCAGGTAACAGAAAGATGAATGATACGAAATTCATATATTACATGATCCTATTCAGTCACATCCAGAAGAGCATAAAGATAGGTCACTTCATCCTACCTTGGTAGGGTTGAGATGAGGCATGAAAAGTTGCCTGAAACAGTTGACATGTAATGGGGGCTAAGGAGAAAATTCAAGGTAGCAGAATTGCCAGAGATAGAGGGTTTAGTCTATGCTTGTTTTTCTTCTACAGTCAGGAATTAGAGAGTGAGGTAAATTGGGCAAGTTACGTAGTGTTTCTCCAACTCTACTGATGTATGGTTTTATTATTTGGTATGATATTTTGTGAAGACATTTGCCCAATAATGTATTTTGAAACCAAATGTAAGCAGTTTTTGAATCTTTTTCTATTATAATGTACTATGAAAGTTGAGAATTAACTATAATACTGTATTTTGTATTGACTTAAGGTATGAACTGCCAAAATAGTTTAATTTTTTAATTCTCAAATTATATCTCTAAAGTATTTTGCATAGTGGTAAAATTAACTTGGGTTTGAATTAAGTTTGATTGGTTTTATTATTGCTTTAAATATAAGAATATTTTATGATTTCATAGGTAATAGGAAATTTTCAGAAGTGATAAGCCACTCGTTTTAGCTAATCTCATTTAGTTAGGTCATTTTTCTTCAACTGGCAGGCCATTATATAACTTCATACATATTTTTGTCAGATCCTACATATCTTTAGTGTATTTTTTCAGGTTTACAGTACCACTACTTTCTGGTGAAGGTATAATGAACATAATTTTAACTAATTATGATATAGGAATGCTATTTGATTAGTAACTTAAGATATAGGAATTAAGATATAGGAATGCTATTTGATTAGTAACTAATAGATTATTGCCTCATTCTAGTGTAGTGTTGTAGCATTTGAAATTATCATTACTAGCCAAGGTAAAGCTATTCTAGCATGCATCCAATACATGCTTTCTAAAATGAATGAATACATATACATAGAAGAAAGAATTTTGGGCTCCTTAAAGAAAGTAGTATAAAGAATCTATTTTAGATTACAGAATACAGTACCAAAGCAATTGACATCTTAATTTTCTAAAAAAAATCTTCTGATTTTGTTTCATAAAATTTGACTTTTAATTATGTTGCTGCTAAAATTACTTTCTGAGATATTATGCATAGATGATTAAAGACAGTTTTGGAGTGAGCAACACTTCTTAAAATGACCATTAAAATCTATTAAATCATTGCTTTCCCTTGGTATCTCTTTCCTCACTTTCTTTGCCTCCTTCACAGATATAATGCATTAGCTTTCCAGTTTTGCCATAACAAATTACTATAATTTCAGTGGCTTAAAGCCACACAAATACATTATCTCACAATTCTACAGGTCAGAAGCCCAGTATGATTTTCAGACTGAGATCAAGGTATGCATAGGCTATGTTCCTTTTTGGAGACTCTAGGAGAGAATCCATTTATTTCTTATTTGAGTTGTTGGCAGAATTCAGTTCTTTGTAAATACAGGACTGAGGACTTGTTTTCTAACTGGTTGTTAAATGGTTAGCCCACCTTTTAGAGGCTCATTGTCTCCTTCCTCCAGCTTCAAAACCAGGGATGACCATTCAAGGCCATTTCACTTTGCATCCCTTTGTTCTTCTGTGATCTTCTAGTTTTAAAAAATTAAAATATTAGATTGGCCAGTTTGGGTAATCCAGGATAATCTCCCCATCTTTGGTCCTTAACCTTAATCATATCTGTATAATTTCTTTTACCATGTAACATAACATATGGATAGGTTTCAGGAGTCAGAATGTGGACGTATTTGGGGAACTATGTTTCTGCCTGCTATAAACAATAGTACTAATTGACGCCTAACTTTGTTGGATTAATTTTCCTTTTTTGTGTAGAATATCTCTGACTTTTTCCTCCTTGATTCAGTAAATACAAACGAGGTGTTAGGATTCAGTCCAGATAGTACTGTATCAGGTACAATTCCTATATGGAAATCGTAGGGGGAAACAGATTCTAGAAATACTGAAAAAAAGAAAATATGGTTTCAGAGTACTGCTTTGAAAAAATAGGAGGTCCTTGTATATTTTTGCAAGTTTATATTAACTGGCCCTAATTTTCAGTATTAAGATTCATAGTTATTAACAACAGCAAGAAGTAAGCCAGATTCTCCTAATTTAGTATTAAAACATTTCAGTTAAAAATAAATAAGTACTAGGGATATGATGTACAACATGATGACCACAGTTAATACTGCTGTAGGATACATAGTAAAATTTGGAAAAGAATAAATCCTGAGAGTTCCCAACACAAAAAGAAATTTCTTTCCTTTTTTTTCTTTCTTCTTTTCTTTCTGTTTTATCTATGTAAGAAGATGGACGTTAGCTGAGTCTGTTGTAATCATCTAACGATATATGCAAATGAAACCATCGTGCTATAATTCCTAAAAATTATACAGTGACGTATGTTGATTATTTCTCAATTCAACTGGGTGGGGCACTCAAAGATAGAAAGATACTCATTTAGAGCAATAACAGCCAGTTATGTGAATTTTGATAATGGATGACATTATATCTTTATGTGTTTTTTTATTTCTACCTAGATTATTACGAAGTATGTATATGAGCTCTTGGAAAAGGACTGTAACTTGAAAAAAATCTCAATTCCAGTAAGTGCAGTTTTTAAAAATGATTAAACTTCCAAATGAAATAGTTTTCAATTCAGAAGAAACTGTTTATATGAGTTTAACTGTGGTAAGTTTAAACATTAAGGTCCTAATATGTTGATGTTGATACTGCTAATATTAAATGCCTGGCAGTGTATCTCAGTTCATTGTGCACAATAATTCTTTAAAACTAATACTCTTCAATGTAGAGGAAAAAAATACTGATAACCAGTTTTTTTTTTTAATGATGATGCCTTTAAAAAGGACTACCCCCTGCCTCTTCTAATTTAATTGGTATAACTTATTTTTACCTATTTTTTGAAGTAAACCAGTGTACTTGATGTTGCAGTAGACATTCACTGTCTCTTTAATTATTTCCTGATTTTTATAATTATATATTTTATTTCCATGTTATTTCCTGTACACATTCCCAAATTCATTCCTCATGCTTCCTGTTTTATAACATTGCTCCTTCCCTTTCTTGTAGAACATTCTTTCCAAATTTTGTACATTTTCCCATTTCAGAGTAAAGGTGTTTGAGATATGTTCTCAGTCTTAAATTCACACAAAAAAATTTTTGATGTGAAACATGATACAATAAAAAAAATGAAGAAACAGTAATGTTATATATGAAACAGTGGTGGTGTTAGATTAGATGATCCTTGCTGTTCCTGATAACTGAGTGTATGATATATAAAAATCTGGAAGGCTTTTATGAAAGTAATGAATTTAAGGCACAAAACTTTGCATATAAGTACTTTGTCTACATGATATTTTGCATGAGATTTTTAAATTCCTTGGGTAATATTCTACTATGAATTGGAGGGTTTGAGGATTTTTTAATAATATTTATCCTCACAAATTAATTCCAAAGTTCAGTATTTAAAAGGAAAATCTATTTTATGTTTAATTTTATATAAATAAGCTCAGATGTTAGGCCACATTGTTAATCATCTATTCATTTATTCAGCAAAAATTTGCTTAAGAGTCTTTTAGGTGCCAGGCGCTGTTTCAGATGCTGGTGTGTACTAGTGAATAAAATACTATTCTGTGCGATAGCTAGGCTAACCCTCCTTTATTTGGAAACTTTTCTTCCTTTTGTTCAATCTTTCTTGTTAATTTTCTTTCTTTCAAAGTTTCTGAAGAATAATATTTAAGGAGACTTAGCTTGATTTATTGTTACAACACAGTTGAGACTGAGCCATTTAACTCATTAATACTTGTAGTTACATGGAACTTTTAAACTCATTGCCAGAAGAAATCAGAAGATAATTGGCTGTGTGGATTATGTTATATGATTAAGTTTCACTAATTTTCTTTATAGAAAGCTTGAGGTTAGGGTTAGGAGGACTTTGTTTTATAGATCTGATTACTTTCCTCTGGTTTAAACTTTAGACTGTAAAGCTAATAAGCATAGAGAAGACTTTGCATTATATGAGACCAATAGTAAGTGTCATGTCCATTTATGGTTAGTAAACATTTCCTGATTTTATAAACTGAAAAGAAACCAAAATTTGTTTTGTTTTAGGAAATTAATGTCTCTCTGTAAGTTATCATCATATATTTTATATTACTGTGAAATTTTTTTTCTATAACTATTCATTTTCTCCTGAGTTCTCTTAAATCCCAAAGCTAGCAGTGAAGGTGGTTTTTTATTTTGCCTTGTTTTGTATCACAGTTGTTCTTTTTATTATAGGAATACCTCAAAGTGGTTTGTTTTGTTTTGTTTTTTTTCCTGATGAAGAGCTAAGTTTTAGTTTTATGGTTGAACTGTTAATAAGGAAAGAAAGACTTCTTTCCTTTCTTTCCTTTTTGCAAATAACAGCACCTGATGGAAACCCATGATCTGATGGTAAAGATCATTATCATGTATGTCTCATGTTTACTCCCTACCTTACATATATTCTCATGTACAGATTATTCTCAACTCTAATATCTTATACTTGTGTAGAACTTCAGATTACATAAATTAACTTAATAACTTGATTATAAATTTTCATTCATTTTATTCAGCCATGTTTAAATGATCATCACAATTAGTGGGGTTCATGGGTATCCTGAAGTGAATTGTTAACTGATAAAATTGTTCTCACTTATCAGTTGGTCTTTGAAGTTGATTGGTTAATAAAGTTAGATGGTGCACTAGGATGACTTTTATATGCATTCCTTAATGAAAGCTCAGTTTAATGAATTAGTGCTGTTTGAAGACAATGGCCTTGGAACAGCCATTTTCAAATTAATTAAGCTAATGCCGAAAATTATGTTTTATTCATGTAGATATTTTAGTATTTAAACTTACTACTAACTTTTTACAAAGTAAGTTATAGATACCAGCCTCAGAGTTCTGTGTTAAATTGAGATGAATATAAGCCAATGACCATCCTAAATACTGCCCTTACACCTTAATCATTAATAACTACATTTTTCATTTTCATTGTTTTTTTTTCCTTGAATATTCTGATGATCTCATGTTTTTAAAGTCAGTTCTTCTATAAAACTTTTATTCATTTATTCATGGCTACCTTAATTTGCAGCCCTTAAATATTTTTGAACAGCATTTTAATATAAAAAGCACATTTCATCTTCTGAAAATAAGCACTCTTCCAGTTTTAAAGTGATTACTGTGGAATTGAAGTGCCAACATTCCACTGCTTAAAAAATTGACTCAGTTCCCTGGTAACAGGGGACTTAGTCAAATAGAGAAAAGAAATAGTGAAGAGCACCTACTGCAAAGTCTATAGCTATAGGGTTTTTTTTTTTTTAATTAAGATAAACAGGTGTCCATTTCCATAGCCATTCTAAGATCCATTAAGGCCTCAATGATTTTAAGAGGTACTTTTATTTGTGCACATTTAGACGTACTCTTTGGTAAATGAATGACTGGAAAACTTTGTGGCCCCTTTTTCATTATACATTGACAGCTTTGTTTTTGAATTTTTCTTTTGTTGTTACCACTTTTGTGGGGTTTTTTTTGTTTTTTGTTTTTTTAAAGATTTTATTTATTTATTTGACAGAGAGAAATCACAAGTAGACAGAGAGGCAGGCAGAGAGAGAGAGAGAGAGAGAGGGAAGCAGGCTCCCTGCTGAGCAGACAGCCCGATGAGGGACTCGATCCCAGGACCCCAAGATAATGACCCGAGCTGAAGGCAGTGGTTTAACCCACTGAGCCACCCAGGCGCCCCTCACTTTTGTTTTTTTTTAAAGCCACTTTAACTGAGTGATTCCTCTGTTTTCATATAACATTCATAGGTAAAAAGGAATTTCCTTCTCAGATTTGGTTTTCCCCATTTCTCAACTACTTCTTTTCCTCTGAGTTCAGTCATGCCTGCTGTTATCATCAAAATTTCCTTACTTCTGGACGTCACATGCAAGAGAAGCTAATGTGATTGTTTCACACTTCATACTTCTATTACTGCATACTATTTACTACTAAGATCGGTTATGCCATTTTAATTTCTAGCATTGTGTAGCTCTTTTAAAATTCTTTATAGTTATATATTATTTTAATCTTCAATATATGCTTTCTGAGCCAGGCAAGTATTGTAACAAGTTAAGAGGACACATTATTTAGTTAAATGCCTTTATTTAAAGGAGGTCACTGGTGATGCTAGATAACATTCCTTATTATAAAAGTTTATTCATTGCTTTATTTACTGAGTGCCTACAATTTGCCAGCCTCTCTTTTAACCATTGGAATGTCGCTGCATACAAACAGAAAAGTCCATGCCCTCCTGGACTTGCATTCTGGTGGTGAGAGGAGATGGTTAATAAACAGTTATATAAACATATGTATAAAGTAGAACATACATTAGATTGTATTATGTGCTGTGAAGGAAAATAAAACTTTCTAGAAAAAGAGTCTAGGAAATTCTTGAGGAGACATTTAAATTTAGGGGTAGACAGGGAAGGCTTCCCTGAGGAGGGAAATTTTTTTTAAGCCCTATGGCTATGCTCTTCTTGCTGAAATAACTGCCCTTTGTGGTATTTAAACAAATGGCCACCAATCTATTTGTTTTAGAATTAGAGAAATGTTAATTTTTTTCTCTTCCCAGGAATAGTGATGGGGAACATGTAGAATACAGGACTTTTTTTTTTTTTTTTTTTGGTATCTCGAGTTTTTGTCTATTTTTTAGTTTCATAATTTCATGAATCTATACTCTTAAAGAAGTGAAGAGCTATTTCTTTTCTTTTTTTTTTTTAAGATCTTATTTGCCAGAGAGAGAGAGAGAGAGAGAGAGCAAGCGAGTACACACAAGCAGGCAGAGGCAGCGAGAGAAGCAGGTTCCCCGCCGAGCAAGGAGCCCGATGTGGGACTCGATCCCAGGACCCTGGGATCATGACCTGAGCCGAAGGCAGCGGCTTAACCCACTGAGCCACCCAGGCGTCCCAGAGCTATTTCATTGCAAAGTATATGGACTGAACTTCTCTGTTTGAGTCTGTATGTTACCAGCCATCAAGACTTTAGCTTCTGGCTCTGACATGGCTGCACAGAAGCTTCCATTCCCAGTTACTGGCCGCTGCTGATGTGGAATACCATTCAGTGCAGGCCATCAGTCATGTAGACAGGTTAGGAAGTTATCTCTTTGTAAGTCTTTTGAGTCTTTCAAGTCTAAAACATAAAATCACCTGGTTTAAACCTAAACATTAAATATAATCAAAATATATAAAATATTCATTCCATAAATAAGTACTATATAAAATGCATAAAAATACTCATCCTATAAATATTTAGTACATAAAATAAAGTTAGAGGAATACTTAAATAGTATTCCTTCATAAAATAATTGTTACATGAGCCTGTGTTCACATCCTGAATGAAAGTTCAAAGACCACTTACATAGAATAGGTGATTGAGTTTTTAAATAGTTTCCTCTCCTACCTTTTAAAACCTTAGTAGTATTCTTTACTAATGTATGATTTTCCAACAGGTGTATGCTCCTGTTGGGTTTTTCTGCTTTCTATTATAGATGTAATTTACTTCTGTTATAGAATTATAGACTCATTAGCTGTGTGATCTTTGGCAAGTTATTTAAACTCCCTAAGCCTCAATTTCTTCATGTATAAGTGACGATAATAATAATACCACCACTTTAATGAGATTGTGATTGAGGTAATGTTTTTAGGACATTTAGCATAGTATCTACACTGTAAGGACTCAGAAAAATCAGTTATTCTTATTTATATTATAATACTAAATATGCACCAATAATATAAGGAAATATATTTCCAGTATTTTTTTGCCATATTACTATCATGTCTTTGATGCTAATCCATTTCATATGTAGTTGTTAATGTCTAATGAATATTTCAGTTTTTTAAAGCTTTTTTACTTCTATAACTCTAGTAGCCATTTATAATTTATGGTAACCATTAGTTGTTTTCTCATTTATGTCTGTGCCTGATCAGAAAACATGTATTTATTATTTAATTTTTTTTAATTACAGGTAGATGCCACTGAGAGTGAACCAAAGAGTTTTATCTTTATGAGTGAGGATGCTTTGACAAATCCACAGAAACTGATGGTTTTAATTCATGGTAGTGGTGTTGTCAGGGCAGGTCAGTGGGCTAGAAGGCTTATTATAAATGAAGATCTGGACAGTGGCACACAGATACCTTTTATTAAGAGAGCTATGGATGTAAGTGCAATTTCTTTTCTATTTTTTTTGGCATTTTATAGCTCTGTTTTATTATGCATTATAAATTATTTTATCCTGTCTCTTCAAAAGTACATTCTAAACATAATTTTATCTTTAAATTGTTTTTTATTTGTAATTCAAGATCATTCATTATTTTACAGTTGGAATGAAAAACTAAATGGTATTTTATTTAGATAATGTCTTTAAAATGAATATTTTTTATTCTAAATTTGTTATTATTTGAAATATCCCTTAATTTATCAAACACTTATCAATATTATTTAAAATACTTACAAAAATATCAAGATTGCTTTTGTAAATCTTTGCATACCTAATTTAGTTAAGTTAGAAACTGAAGGAAATCTACTTGAAATTAATTTCTTATTCTTTAAAAGAAGAGTTAAAAAAAAGAGTTGGAATGACTCAGTGTTTGTCATTTCTTTAAAAACTCTAGAACTCAGAAATAAACTGCTTTAAGCATTAGACAAAGACCTGTAAAATGGTAAATTGAAATATTTACTGAATTACTTTATTTTTACTTGAATTCTACCTTTCTAGAAACCGTTATTTTATGTATGCAAGGTTTTCTTTCCTAGAATAGTAAAATTGGGTTGTTTTTGACCTATAATTGTTACATCTTAATGTTTGGCTACTTTTTTTTTTTTAACTGTCTCATTCTTATGTTCTGCAGTGAACAGCCAAATTTTCCAAAGTATAGGTTTCTTTCGAATATGAATAGTTTTTTCAGAAAAAAGTGTTGTCTTGTAAAAAAGATTTCATATAAGAACTTAAAGTTATTTAGGGATGTATCTGTGCTTGTGTGCTCTATAAGAGCTATATTATTACATTTTTGTAATTATACTGGGAGAGGAATTGCTTGATACATTGATGATTTCAAAAGTTAAAGATAGGTTTCCTGCTCTTTTACCTCTGAAATTAAAATCAAGGCCCAGCCCAGCTCTTAAGAGACTATTTTTGTTAATAGTTTTTGAGGCCCTTAAAGTGCTTCAAGTAGAATTTCTTAGGTTAATTGTGTATTTTTTTTCAGTGTTCATGGATATGTAAAGAACACAACACATTAATTTTGACTGCAAATTTCAACAGTGCAATTTTAATGGAATTTAAGTAAAATTTAGTAGAATTTAAGTAAAATAAATTGAAGTTTAGATTGAAGTAACTCACATAAAATACTGTATTATTTAAACATATGTATTTCTGGCTATGAATAGTGAAATGAACTTTCTCTCTGACACATTAGTTTGTGGTTATAAGAGATGCTGTCATTGATTAAGAACATTATATATGAAATGTGATCACAATTCAGTATATATTTGAAAATACAGTTTAGTAAAGAAAATCGTGTGTTCGTACATATGAGGGCTTGGTGAAATACTGTATGTAATTTTATTGTTCCTGCTACTAGATCAAGTAAGCCTTTCCTGTTCTAGGATATTTTATTATGTAAGATTTTTCAAGGTGAAAGAGTATGGTAAGTCATGCCAAACAACTATGAACAAACTATCTGTTGATATCCCAAACAGAAGGAAGGAAGTTTGTCAGTAACTTTAGACGAGTCAAGCATTTTGTTAGTAGATGTGTAGTGTTTAGAAACTAACAGCATTTCATTGCTTTGACTCTTTTCTGCTTTTCTCAATAATGGCAACTCATGATTCCTTAAAAAAAAAAAAAAAATCAGCTGATTTCCTAGTACTCTAGTATTTAGTGTATTTAGTGTTTATGTGCTGTGTACTTAAAAGTTTAATTGATACACTTTTTTCTCTTTATAAAAAAAAACTGAATATGACCTTTATTGTGGTAAATTTCTACATGGTGAATATTTTTAAATGGCTATCTCTTTTTAATCTAGATAAAGTGATTTGTTACTTTGGCTTTACCGTTTCATGGTGTTTCTTTGGTGGTTCTTCAAAGGCTACTGTGTGTTTATGTGTGGTGGGAGGACACTGGTTGTAAAGGGGTGATATTCTAGGAAGCAGGCACAGGAAGACTAATTGGAAGGACTAAAGCTATCTCATCCTTACCTTTTAATCAGATTAGCTCTATTTTTATTTTGTGGACTTTGTTCAAAAATTCTATTTAATGAAATGTTTCCAAAATTTAGAAAAGACTGGGAGCATTACCCATTTTTTTTGTGATCTGTCAGTTTTTGATATCACAACTGAAGTAAATCTGTTATTTCTCAGGATAGACAATATGATCTCTACTCAGTTTTGTTAATAGTATGTCTGTTGTGGCAGCTGTCCCTTGAGCTCACCCACTCTCACTAATAAACATTCCTGCTTTCACAGCTCAAAAAAAAAAAAAAAAAATCTGCTATATCTCTTGCAGATTTTTTAGGAAAAGATTAAAGGTCCTAATATTGGATTCATAGCATTATAAGGTTAAATTAAAACTTTTTCCCATCAGTGGAACCCTGCCTCTGAGGCGACTATTCTGTAAAAAGTAGGTTTAAATCTATGGAGCTACTTCGGTTGAAGCTGGGGTGAGAATTGGAGCAACTTCTACAATGACCCCTGAGATTTCTTCCCCAAACCCTAGGGCTCCATAGCTAACAGTCTGAGAATTAAAGATATTCCAGTCCTTGCATTTTAGATACTTTAGAACTTTATTATAAAAAATGTATTAAGATTTCATGTTGAAGAAATAGTACATATCAGATACATCCCCACAGTACTTCTGAGTGCCATAGCTCATATTTTTAGTGTTTAACAGTCTTCATTGCATAATACATTACTTGGAGTCGGAAACAGTGTATCATATAGCCAAGTACTGATTATTCAGTGTTTGTGCAGTTTGAGAGTTACTCATACGTGTTTCTTCTTTGATCTTTTCTCATGTGTATCTTTTTAGGCATTTCAGTTGGTCTCTGTAAAATGGGCAAGGAAAGAAAAGTCATTACACTACGTAAAGTCATTTAATTACTAATTGCAGATGTAGAACAAGGATGCAGAATTTTTTTTTTTAAAGATTTTATCTATTTATCTGTCAGAGAGAGAGAGAGAGGGAGAGAGAGCAAGCACAGGCAGACAGAATGGCAGGCAGAGGCAGAGGGAGAAGCAGGCTCCCTGATGAGCAAGGAGCCCGATGTGGGACTCGATCCCAGGATGCTGGGATCATGACCTGAGCTGAAGGCAGCTGCTTAACCAACTGAGCCACCCAGGCGTCCCAAGGATGCAGAATTTAAGGAGCTGGTCAGTCTCTCAGGGTCGTGCAATATTTGTAGGATCCTGAGAGTGAGTAGCTCCTTAAATTTTGCATCATAGGCAGCTTTCTGATCTTTCCCTGTCCAGGCTTTGACTGACTGAGTTGTACTGTCAAAAAGTTTTATGGAGAGTAGTTTGGGAGCCACTGGTCTATACAGTCAAATTTTTCCATGCATCAGAATCACTTGGAGAGCTTTTTGAAGCACAAATTGCCTTGTCCCAAAACCAGATTTTGATGCAGAAGAGTCTGGTTGGAGCCTGAGAATTTACATTTCTAAGACTGTCCCAGGTGATGTTTTGCTCTTAATCTGGATACCGCACTAGAACCTGGTGTAGGTAACATTCTTTGGATTTGTTGAGAGTTTATTTATACTTCTCAGGCTCTAGGTATAATGGCTAAGTTATAACTTGATGGCAATTATATTTAGTATGACAGAAAGTAAGAAGTTCTAGGAAATGTTTTTTTTTTTTTTTTAATTTTTTTTTTTAATTGACAGAGAAAGAGATCACAAGTAGGCAGAGAGGCAGGCAGTGGGGGAGCGGGGGAAGCAGGCTCCCCGCTGAGCAGAGAGCCCAATGTGGGGCTCAATCCCAGGACCCTGAGACCATGACCTGAGCCAAAGGCAGAGGCTTAACCCACTGAGCAACCCAGGTGCCCCTAGGAAATGTTTTATAATAAAATCAGTAGAGAAGTAAAGTTTACATTATGAAGAATACTTTCAGAATACTAATAAGTGGTTCATACTCAAAATGATAAAATTTATTGATTTTAATAGTTTTGTAAGAAGTCTGGTTACTTCACTAAGCCCACCCATATTTTTACTAAGATCTTATAGCTGGATTATTTAGAAGAGTCTGATGTTTCCATAATTACTTACCTTGAGTATAGCTTTCATATTGTTATATCTAAGTTTAAAGAAATTATACTATTTTTATCAATGTAATTGATACAGTTTGGGTTCTAAAACATGGTGGACTGAGCTAATTAATATTTCTCCCTTCTGCATACACACATGTAAGAATAGTGGATAAAACATAGCAACAACAAAAATATTAAGTATCTAGTTATGTTCAAAAGATAGAAAAGGAATCTTTAAATGCCTAACTACAACAAAAAAAACTTATACCCACGTTGGTAAGTTCCTCCAGAGTGTAGCAACCCCAAGGGGATAGCTAATGAGATACAAGCCCTAGGTCTACATTACAGCTTTGAGCTTGAGAGGCAAGTGCTAATACCAAGACCCTTGGGTATAGCTAAGGCCTGGAAGTTTCTGCCCTTTTAGTTTTCAGGAGTAGAAAAATCAGTTCATGGCCCAAAGGTGAAAAGAGGAAGTTTATTTGTGAGAGAGGCCAGGTGGGGTAAATTAACATCCTCCCTTGGGAAATAGAAGCCACAGATCACACTCCAAAGTTGGATTTGGATTTGCAGCCTGAATTTAGACAACCCATGTAAGTGTGGGAATTTCAAACAATGTATATTAATGTAAAAATGGACTTTGGACAGATGAAACTTCTGGGGTACTAGATGGAAGCAAACACAAAATTCCCGGTAACAACACTTTCCAACCCAGGGTTAAACCCTAATGAAGGTGAATTTCTAGTCAGAAACTAAAAATTATATGAGGAAATGATTCGTCACAAGGAAGAGTCAGGTGAGGCAACTAACTATCAGACACAGTTGAAGAGAGAATTGGTAAATTAAAACCTAGAGTTGAAGAGTATTGTATACAGAATATAGCAGAGAATCTGAGGAAAAAAATTGATATTTTTAAAAATGAT